AAGCATTTGACCTTTGCCTGTGGCCTTCCCTGCTGTAGCTGAGGTTTCACACTTGAGAAGTGTTTCGGGGACTCAGTGATGAGGGAAACATCTGCCTCAAGTTCATTCTGAGTTCAGCTGTTGTCCCTCAAGCTCAGAGGTGCACCCAGAACGACACACTGTGCATCCAATGCTGGGGCTGTTCCCCTAGATTCCCATCCAGGACTGTTTGGGGTCACTTTATTATTCTTGCTGGAGACGAATGCCCCACTTCTTGGTACGCTTGAACCAAGCATTCCCTTGGGATACAGTAGCCTTTCCTGCCCACCTCCCTCAATAGGGACAACTTTTCACATCAACAGCAGGCTGCCGCTCTCAACAGGTCTATGCCTGATCTGCAAAAGCCTAGAACATCCATTCATTTTTCTCCTATTTCATCCATTTCTATGTGGCAAGATCAGTCAGTTTTCCTGTTTCTTAGGAGTAAGAGTCTTAGAAACGTTTCAGAGCTTGCAGTCCCAAATAGCAATTCAATTCTGACCCTCCCTTACTCAAATTACTACTGAATCCTTTCTCTGCTAGCTCATGAGATATCAGGGAAAAGATTGTTTTCTCCCCCTCCACTTGCATCTCTGGAATCTGGCTTCCCTAAGCAACACTGAGTCTGGGAACAAAGAATCACTTGTATTTTGTATTTTTTTCACTGTTCAACATAATTATTGTGCGTTTTCTCTCTCACACAGGTGAAGGAGCTAAAGATGTAATTTACCCCAAGATAAAGTTGTAAATTTAAGGATGCCATTTAAGGAAGGGCCCTGTGTCAATTTGGGCACATCTTTAGGCTGTTTTTTCCTGTGTCTCTGTCTTCCAGGGATTTGCACATGAGCATAAGTTCAAACTTGTCTCATATATTTTTCTTGTCTGTCAGAGAAGTCAAACTGGCTTCTTCCGTTCCTTCCTTTCTCCCTTCTGTTCCTTTTCCTTCTTTTTCTTCCCTCCTTCCCTCTTTCATCTTTTGCTCTCTGCCTTTCTCCCCCACTTTTCTTGCTCTCACCAAGGTCAGAACAGTTTAGCTGCATCCAGACGAAGCGGTAACCTGACTTCTGAGGACTCTTTCAGACAGCTGCATCCAGGCCTGGCCAAGAACTCCCACACAGCCTGCTGGCTACAGTGAGACAGGAAAGGCTTCACTTGTAGCATAAACACTGTCCAGATACTGAGTGAACCCCTAGTGAGATAGATACTTCAGTGGCCACTTCTTCACCTGGACAAATGCCGAGTTTAGACTTGCCAGTAGTTGCTCTTTGAGGAGTCTGCAGAACGGGGAAATCAGAGGTCAGGGAATCAGAAGAACTAGTTTCAAGCTCATCCCTGACTCTTGCTAGCTGGACCCTAGAGAAAACACTGTAGATTCTTCAAGCTTCATGTCTTCAAGTAGGATACAAAATGGTTATAATGATTCCTGTGCACATGAGATAGTAGATGCTACAGCATTTCATTAGCTACAAAGTACAGAAAGGACTTCCCCCTTCTCTAGAGTCAGCTTTGGTTCCATTCCTCAAGGACAACAATGATAGTCTTATGAAACCAACTGCCACCTATGGGCAAGATTTTGCCCCAGTGCTGGTGCTGTGCAGATGTGTGTGACATGGTTGTCCTCATAGGAGCCCAAGGCTTTGTTGGTAAGATGAGGCAGGACGTGTGACAGGTACAATGGGAGGATGTTTTAGGACATTTTCTCCCTCTTTGACAGAAAAGGAAATGTGAATTCAGCATCCTTTTGAAATAAAGAAATCAAATTACAGTATCTACGAAAGCACAGTTAAAGAGTTGCAAATATAGTAGGCCATGAAGAATGAGAAACTAGTCATTCATAGGAAAATGGATGTGCACTGAGGCCGTACTCTTAAGTGAAATAAATAACTCACACTTGTAAATACCGAATAGTTTCTCTGGTGTGAAAAACTAATTGTAAATAAGATCCTAATAGTATAATTGACAATGTGAAATAGGAAAAAAAGGGCTAAAGGTGTAGGGAAAGTGGATGGGTAGGGGAAGGGTAATAAGGGAAAAGAAAAAAATGTGAGAGAATGAAAAGATGAAAATAAAGTGTTTGTAGATGGGGAGGGGAGGAGGGGGTGAAGGGAGGGCAGAGACAAGGGGAAAAAATGAGAATTAAGACTTGTCATGTAGAGGTACAAGATCCCAATGATGGATGTAACTGTACTGTATACCTAAAATACCAATAAACTCAATGAGGAAGAAAAGTTATGAATATAGTAGGAATATGCCATACACTATCAAGAGCAATGTAGGACGCATTCAGCACAAGACATTAAGTGTGGGCTCCGCAGCAAAGTATCTTGAGAAAGCCATTTGATGTTTTGCTGTGCCTGTTTCCTCATTTCATAAAAGAAATTGATGGCGGTCTATTTCACACAATTCTTGTAAGAATTAAATGATTTGATTTATATAAACTGTTCTGGAGGATGTTTGGCTCTTTGTAGGCACCAAGTACATGTGGGCTATTATTAGTTTAATCAATAACTTCTATACGGCCTGGTACTATTAAGCCGATGGTGAATGGAGCAGCAGAAAAGCTCAGGTGTTGGAATTAACCAGTCTTCTGTGACTTAACTATGTTTCCTCAGGGAAGTTCCATAATTCTTATTTTCTCTATGTATAAAAGGGAAATGATAATAAAATAATAATGATAATAAATGTAATTGTCCATGGCCCTAAAGTCTCCTTGTTCAGCTTGCATTTTTTTGTTTGTTTGTTTGTTTGTACTGGGACTCAAACTACTTAGGACTTTGTACTTTTGAGGCAGGCAGTGGAACATCTAAGCCAAATCCCCGGCTCTCAATATATATTCTTTTTTTTCTCTCATTGAGTTTATTGGTACTTTTTAAGTACACAGTACAGTTACATTCATCATTGAGATCTTGTACCTTTACATGACAGGTCTTGGTTCTCATTTTTTTCCACATATCCCTGCCCTCCCTTCACTCCTTCCGCCCTCCCCTGTTCGACATACATTCTTGATTAGAGGTTCCATCTGGCTGTGGAAGGGGCTACTTAAAGTGGGAGAGGACCAGAACGGTGCTTTCCTTTGTTCCCTCCCTCAGCGAGGAGGCACAGAGCCCAGCCCAGGTGGGTGAAGGCCAATGTGTCTGTACCTGGTGGGTGGGCCAGTGGAACTCAGTTTGCAGTAGGAACTAGTTCTCTTGCCAGCAGCCAGCAGCAGGCCCTCCAGGGCTTCACTACTGGGAAATGGAAGGAACAAAGGGAGTTGGGAGGTCAGGAAAGCAGGCCCTAATAAAAGAAGCTCATGGAGGAAGAGTGGACTGGATAATCTGATCGATCCTTTCCAGTCAGAAGCAAAATTCTCACCTCATCTTTCATTAGGCTCCACCCCTTTCCTCTGAATTCTTAGCTCTTGGGTCAGAAATGATCTCTTCAGTTGTGTCCACATTTAATTCTGGCAACAGGGCAGCGACCTCTGGAATTTAATCTTGGAGATGCCATGAAGCGGCTATTTGGAGAAGTCAGAGAATACATGCTTGTGCTTTCCAGCCACCTGTACAGACCATGTCGGAAGAAGGCTGGGGGAGAGGTTCCTCTCTCCCTCTTCCTCACAGCCCCATTTCACCTGGCAACACTAAACTACAACTTGCAGACTGCTGTGCACGTTGTTCACACTCAATTGGGGATCCACTATGTAAGAAAGAGGAAGGAAAATACTGATGTACTAAGTCCAGACAACCTTGCTTCACAACAAGACATCCTGGGCAAGGAGAACATTACAAATGACCCAGACCCAAGCCCCTTTCTTGAACACTAGCATCAGTGTCTCAGAGCATAGCCCAGGGTCAAGTTATTGGCAAATTGACTGTTCTAATGAGCAGTCAGGGATGAGAACCACTGCTGGGAAAAATAAAAATGGCTTATGCAAATGGAGGAAGGTGAAACCTTCATCTGAATTGGAAAGAGGCTGGCTGCAAGCAAAATTGGAGAGAACCATTGAGATCTGCTTTTGACTGGGGCGAGCAGCAACACATAAAGTTTCCATGGCAGATACGGACCTCCCCAAACTCTATGGGTCACTCAAGATTGGGGATCCCTGATATAAGAGATGAGGAAATTGCTAGAATTCCAGGAAACTCACCCAGTGAAACCACATCCCCTAGTCTTCAAGCATCCACCCAGGAGCAGCTGCTAGGATGGAGGACTCTTTTTGAGAGCTTGAAGGAGTATAGGATGCAAAGAACCAGAAAACCCACATGCCATCATCTGCCACCCTCTCTATTCATTTCCAATTGCTCTTCCTGCCTACCCAGCCTGGCAGATTAGGACATTTTTGGTAGCAGCTTGTTTACCTGTCTCATGAGGGTTGATATTTAATAATGACTTGATGAAGGGCTTATGAAGAAGAAGCTGGAAGACCCATTTCTCTGTTTCATTCTAGTACACTGCTAGCATGCTGCTAGTGTGGTACAGTGGGATGGAGTCAAGGAAGACAGGGCCAGTAGCAGAGATCCTAGCTACTTACGGTCGGAAAAAAAGTGGATTTGATTTGATGACTTTGAGACATTTGGTTCTCTGGGGTGATGCTGTGAGAGATTATATGTGCAGCGTGGGAGCTTTGTAAGAAAAATGAAATATATTTGCGCACATATAACATTACATGCAGAGACCCTTCATGCAATAGATTTGATCACTGTGAAATTCACTGAGAGTTGAGGAAAAGCTGCTGAGAATCAGCTGGACCTTTCTCCTAATAAACCAGCTGGACTTCCAGGGAGAATAGCCTTGGCCTTCTAGGTTTCAGGCACTCAATCCTCTTCTTTGAGTTGATTCCAGACCCTCCGTTACCTGCGGGCTGTCTAAGGACTACCCTATTCTAGAAGCTACTCAAAGTTGGACACTGTCTCTTTAAATAGTAGAGGCTGAGAACCTCTCAGGCCACCATGACATATCCCAGCATTGGACCAGCCCCTGAATAAACTGGAAAGAAGCCTGATCTGGCTTCAGTTACAGGGAGCACCACCAGGGAACTTCTCAGGCAGCAAGGCTTAAGAGTCTGTCAGCCATCAGTCTCTGGCTGTCCTGTGGGAAGGGCCTTGCCTTGCCACCCTTTGCATTTGACTGCAAAGATACCTGCGTGGAAGAAGGAATTACGCTGTTTGGCCTGGTAAGTTTTATTGGTTAATTGTGCCTCTGGGTGGTGACTGCTTTACAGAGAACAACCCCATTCTTCACCCCCTGCAAAACTGCAAAAGGAAAGGATTGCAGTGGAGACAGTACATTTGTGTTGGAACTGCCTGTGGAGTCAGAGAGGTTTTTACGTCCTTGTTTAAGAGCTCGATATAAACTTTGGCTTGGGAGGCAAGAGAGTCATTTGAGAGCATCTAAATTCCCTAAGATATCCAGGCTAGAAAGGAGAAAGGGGTGACAGGTTTGTGATGGAAAACAGCTGCGTGCACACAGCTGGCAAGTGATCACGGTCAGCAGGTTAGGAAGGCCCTTCCACTAGTGGCCTGTAGTGGGCCCTGGGTGTGGCCAAGCATGGTGGTCACTGCATTGAGTAGCATTTCCTCCTTCCTGTTGGGGGCCAGGCAGAAAGCAAGAGGCAGCAAGGGACAGATGGGTTCATCTGTCTGGTGGCTTACAGTGTGGCTAGGACTTAGGTGGCCATTGATTAAAGTATTGGATTCAAGAGAAAGGAAGAACTGAGCTGTGTGTGGACTTAATATAGGCACCTTTCTAGATGTATAATACTTCAAGGAAGAGTTTACTTAAAAAAACAAAAGAAAGAAAATTTTGAATGAAACATGCTAATATCTGTAAAGAGCTTAGAACCGTACTGGGTAGGTAGTGAGTGACTACATAAATACTGATTGCGTAAATAAAAGAATAGCATGAAACAAAGTAATAATTTTAGGGCAAATGTGATTTATAAATGACCCACAAAGTAGAGAAAAATGCTTTCATTTCTTTAGTCATTCACTTGTTTATGTCTCTCAGTTAACTGTACAACTCTGGACATTGTAAATCAGTGCAGAAATAGTAAAGTCTTCCTTGAAGGGGTTGATGTGAAAGATAAATGTGACAGTATAATAACAGGCTTTGGAACTTAGAGACTGGCCTCTTACTTTGCTCTGGACACTGTAATAAATGTCTCCTGTAATTATTACCACGATCCTCTGAAACAATATTAGCCCTCTAAATAGATTCATTCATAGGAAAATGGATACACATTGAAGATATACTCCTAAGTGAAATAAATAAGGCACACATGTGTAAATACCGAATAGTTTCTCTGGTGTGAATAATCTGCAATAATACAGAAGATCCTAATAATATTACTGACATTGAGAAATGGGAAGAAAGGAGCTAAAGGTGTAGGGAAGATGGGATGGGTAGGAGAAGGGTAATAAGGGAAAAGAAAAAAAATGTGAGATAATGAAAAGATGGAAATAAAGTGTTTGTAGATGGGGAGGGGAGGAGGGGGTGAAGGGAGGGCAGGGACCAGGGGAAAAAATGAGAACCAAGACCTGTCATGTAGAGGTAAAAGATCCCAACAATGAATGTAACTGTACTGTATCCCTAAATTGTACCAATAAGCTCAATTAAAGCTGAAAAAAAATATTAGCCTTCTCTACAGATCAGAAGACCAAACCTCAGGAAACTTCAGAAACTGTCCCAATTCCCAACAGGAATAAGCAAGGTAATCAGCTTTCCCTGAGCTCAGAATCACTGCACCACACTGCCTTTCTCACCAACCAGGAAAATAATGGGCACTGAGTAAAAAATTGACAAACATTCTTTTAAAAGACCATTCTTTGAAGAATATTTCTTTCTTGCTTTTCTTAGAGTGAGAGTATACAATTAGTTGAAATAGCAGCCAGTTTTGAACAGTAAAATAATAGGGAATTATTTATGGGTCACTTATGGTGGTAAAGTTTTAGTACTCAGTACACTAACAGATGTGTGTGTGTGTTTGTGTGTGTGTGTGTGTGTGTGTGTGTGTGTGTGTGTGTG